TTACGTTCTTGATTTGTGTATGTTGAAGTATCCTTGAATCCCAGGGATGAATCCTACTTGTCCATGGTATATACTCCTTTTAATGTGTTTTTAAATTTGGTTTGCTAATATTTTGGGGTGAATTTTTGCATCTGTTTTCGTCAAAGATGTTGGTGCGATTGTTTCTGAGATTTGGATGAAGACATCCAGGGCAGCGCGGTGCTTCCGCTTTCCTCCCGTGCAGACGCTACACCCAGTTCCGTTGCTATCAGCTCCCATTTTCTCCTTGCCATCAGCTTCTTGTTACCAAGATCCTTTATTGCAAAGTAGTTCCTTAGAGTTAGTAATATGCTTATTTCTGTAATTCTTGGATGAATTTTCTCCTTTTGGTCTCCTACACTTTCTGCTATGTCTGTACTTATCATTATCATCATCATCCTGTAATTTGAAGTTCTGGCAATATTCCTCATACCTTAGGAATCCTCTCGATGCCAAGTTTCTCTAGACATTTCTGAAATCGTCAGCATCAGAATGACTGAGTTTCTAAGACAAGAGACAGACTCAGAGAGAGAGAGGAGGATGACAGCCAAGGGGGGTTAGGGGATGGGGGGACTGAGCGAAAAGGAAAGCGCACTCATGGACACGGACAGCAGTGTGCGGTGCAGTAGTTGTGGGTGCAGGGGGTATAAGGAGACTCAGTGGTAATGAGGGAAAAATTTTCAGAAACAAAGAAGTAGAGGCCTTAACAATGATTAGATAGTGACTGTTACCAGTGTTTTCATATACAGATATTTATGGAGTCAACAGTATAAATCATACAGACAAGGAAAAGAAAGACAGATGCTATGTAATATGTCCAAGTTGGGGAGCTGCGATGTGGACCCACGATGTGGACCCAGGCAGCCTGACAGTAGAGACTGGAACCTCAACCATGTGCCACATGGTCTCTCTGGTTTCAGTATGATTTTGTCAAGGTTCTGTATATCCAGATGGACAGGCAGTCTGAAATCAATATGAAATATTCATCTTTTAAGTGGATTTAAAAAGTTTTGATATGCTTTTTATTTTATTAATGAATAGCCATCATTTAGTTAAATATAATATGTACAAATAGCAAGTTAATAACATTTTCTAATTTTTTTCTGACTTGCAGTACCATTTATGATAAGAATGAAACTGACATATTTCTGATAATATTTATAGAAATCTGTGGTTCAACTCTGAGACATCTGATAGCATTAGTATGACTTAAATAGGAATAAAATTTCTAGTAGTAATAATTGTCCCAAGAGTAGTTGTGTTTATCAACCACAATCAATGAGAACTTTATCAAGTATTGGCTGTATACAGCTGTATAATCCAGATCCAGAAAGAAAAATAAAACATTAAAAAGTACACTCCTCAAAAAGATTTAATTTGAGTTGGAATCACAGGGTGTGGTCCCAAAAATATGTTCAAAATCCATTTTAAGATCCATTTAAGACCGAATCAATAATGTGCATGTAAGTAGGGTTTTATAAAGTTTAATTTGTAACATAATAATAATTGTTACATGTCCCCAGGTAGTGTAATGCAGCCTGCCCAATAGAACCACCTAAGATTCTGAATTAAAGTGGGTCCTGTGTGTCAGTATTTATATCAAAACAAATAAACACACAAACAAGTCCTTATAATTATCCTGGCATACATATTATCATGCAGTAGAATTCATACCCTCTCGCCTTTGTATCCTCAGCACTGTACAAAAAGCTCATTCACAATTCTTGTGAAGTGCAGTGTCCTCCAGATTTGTCCCGCCTTACCTCACCTCTGCCCCAGGTGTTCTCCAATGTTCCCTAACTTGGGGAATTGAACCACTAGCCACAGTACTAAGTTTCAGAACCCTGGGAGTGATTCTAATTTTATTCCTGTCCTTCAGAACAACAATGAGTGCATCATGAAGTCTCCCTTTTCCCTTCTAACTATTCCTCAAGTGAGTCCATTTTTCTCTATCTTCCTTACCAGTGCTAGTCACCAGAAGTTGCTCTTCCTGATGATAGTATCTTAACTGGTCTCCCTTCCTACTCGTGTTCATGTACCAAAAACCTACATTTCATTCAGAGTCGTTTTCCTGAAACACAAGTCTGATAATACTATTCTCTGGTTTAAAATCTTCAGCAGCTTCCAGTTGCCTAAATACTCCATGCGATTCAGAGAGGATTCCAGGCTCTGACCCTCGGTCTCTCCAGCCTCATCGCCTGTTTCATCTCCGGCTACTCGTCAGCCACCTCTCACACCATTTGGAACTCATATTGAGCTACTTCCAGTTCCCTGAGTGCACCTCTCAGTATTCACGCACTCTCCTCTATTCTTAATAGGACTGCTACCTCCTTCCCTCACCCCAAAGTCATGGCAGCCTTCTCTGGCCAGCTCAATCCATCTAGATTACCCTACAGTAAGCTCCAATAATACTATTTTTTCCCCATATCATATCATTTACCTCATACTATTGTAAGTGCTTATTAAATTTGTAATATTCACAATCCATAGTTTTATGAGGAAAGGGACTATTTTTTAAAAAATCTTCTATAAGCTCTACTTCTAACACTTCAATTAAATGTTTTTGGTTAAATGAATGAGTAAATGTCTTAAGTGACAAATGGTGCAGATACTAGGGTCTTAAAAGCTTCAGCCAAAAATGATGATTATGATGCCCAGGAAAATGACTGTGGTCACAATTCATAATATTATGATGATCTTGTTGAGTGCTTACTCATTGCTAGATCCTATGCTCAGTACTCTACACTAAATGTAGTTACTTTTATACTGTTTCATAGCTAAGGAAACTGAGGCTTGGAGACATTATGTGATTTGTTCATGTTTTCAAAGCTATTAAGTGGTAAAGTGAGGCACAAATCTAAGCAATAGATTGCAGTTATTATTTTACTAAACTCCTTTATAAAGAGGACTAGGGTAGTAGTTATTGCACTTAGGAATTTTACAGATCACTGTGATTTTAAAATTAATAAGCGAAGGGATTGAAGCACCAGTAGTAACAACTGACATGTTTGTTAACAATTTATTTAAAAGTTATTATCAATCCCATAATTTCACAAAAGAGATTTATTTTTCTTAAACTAAACAATTAGAGAAAAGATAATATCTGGAAAAGAGCAGTTCTTCCCACTATAGGAAATTAACAAACTTATTCACACATAGGTTCCTTATATATTGTCCTTATATGAATGAAAAAGTGTTACAAGTAAACTTTAAAGACGTGTTAGAGTCAGTCCTGAGGTACTAAAAAACCTATTATGATTATGCTAAAGCATTTAAAAAATTGTCCACTGAAGAAAACTCAAATCTTGAAAAAAATTTTGTGTATATTTTGATAAATATAATTTAATGTATTAATAACTACAATTTAGTGGGTTGTTTGAGTCCTGGTTTACATTTCAAACATTAGTGGCCAAAATACAAATACTGCCTAATCCACCATTACATTAAATATGTTAAAGAAGTATGTTAAATCTAGCACATTTGTTACTGGCATATACTGAGTAGTTCTACTGATTTCTTTTCATCATAATAAAGATGAACCTATTTTAATATGACATACCTACTAATTATAGCTAATTATATTGGTTTTCCAATTACAGAAGTAATGTTACATTTCCCTGTTAAACATGTATTTTAAAAAGTGAGCCAATTTAACATAGAAAATATTTAAAAATAGTATTGTTGATTGCATGCCAATTTATGGAAAATTGTAAAGGTGCTCTGTGAATAACTCCACTTTAAAATACAAAGAATTTGAGTATCAAAAAATCCTCAAGTCATTCAATTTTCCCAAGGCATTACATTTATTAGCACCTCATACAAGTCACTAAAGTTTTTCAGTGGTAGCTCAAAACTAAGGGTCAGAGATAATAATATGCCTTTCCAAACTAAAATTCTAAGGCCTAGTTGGGCATATTGCAAAGAGACTACCACCATGTGTCTGCAGATGTGCAGAGGAATAGTTTAATTCCAGCTGTATGAGTCTAGAAAGCAACAGGCACTGGGCAGCAGTGGATGTCTGATTTTTACGTTTGTTCTAAATAGAGGTGTTCTGAATGTGTCTGCAGGCAGCGGGCAGTGTGCCTGCAGAAAGGGAAGACTGAATATGCTTGGGAAAGGAGATTTGATGAAACGAGGTCCCTAGGGCAGAGGTTGGGGTGGCATCAGATGATTGATAGAGGAAATGAGGGTCAAGGATTGATTGAGGAGATAAATTGGTACAGAATGGAGCCAGATGTTCAAAAAACAAATGTTATCTACCTTACACTTTTAAGTGGGGTTTTTCCTGTTAAAATGCCTTGATCAGAAACTGAGTAACCACCAACATTGATACCCATGCACCACATTCCTTCTACATATAGGTATTTTTGCTTTCCCATGAGGGTACCCCAGAAAGAAAAGCAGGCTTACATTATACTAGATTCCACACAATATCAGTCTCACCACTTTATTATTAGGTGAGCAAAGGACAACAGGTGGCAAGCTAGTATCAATATAAAAGGAAGCTAACAGTTTTTTGGAAAACTCTTCATCATAGACTTCATTGTCTCAGCTGGTATAAAATAGCTAGAAGAAATAATTAAATGTTAGTCAGGTGTAGTAAAAGCTATGCATAGTTCAGATATTCTAACATGTTTCATTCAAATTATTTTTTCCACATTCTTTAAAGAAACATGGGAATATTTTTCCTGGGACTTCTGTGTTTTCACATTGGAGTCCAAAGTTTGATTTAATGAGTTTCTCAATGACCTGATGGCAAAGCACACGTGAGAAGGGTCAGAGTTATGTGAAGAAGTTGCAAGTACATTTGCTTATTTGTTATTTGAGTTCTGTGATTGCAGGAGTACTTTCCAAGCCTGACTTGTTTCCACAATCTAGAATTCTATCCACAGGAAAGAGGCTTTCTTAAAATATATTTATGATGAGGCCTCTCTTTCTTTCAACTAGATTTTAAATAATTAAATAACCCAAACTGTGGTGACTTTAAATGATAAACTTTTATTCTGAATATACTGTTTTTGCACAAGATTTAACACAACATTTTCTGGGATTATAAATATTTTTTATAACAGTATCATACAAATTTTTACAAAATGTTTTTATCAGGCTAGTTAATTTCCACAAAAGTGTCAAGAGAACATAATAAATGGGAGAAAAGATCTTTTGTTCACAAAGCCTCTTGGCCTTTTGCATGGATGCACACTGAGCATTTTAATAAAAGTATCCTAAAAAGCATGATCCAACAATCATACAGCACAACAAAAAAGATAGCTTTGTCAGGTCACACTGTAAACTCAATTGGCATCTATACAAGACAGTATCCCATTAGTCTCAGAGGAATTTTCTTCGAGTGAATTACTTGAGCTATATGAGTAAAGTACATGAAATTATTGGTAAGGGTTGTCTAAGTCTTTGAAGTTCTAGAATTATTTTCAACACTTGATGCATTTGATTTATTGAGTTGCACTTTATATAAATGCAAACTGATTATTAGCAATATTAACATTCTGCTATGGGAAAACAATACAAGTTCCAGATAATAATAGAATATTTGAAATTGTGAGCAAGTGAAATAATCATTCTATTTTACACTTAAAGAAATCACTACATCCATTTTTCACTGGATCAGACTCTATACCTCTAGATATTTTAATATTAACTGACATGATCAATGGAATAGTTTAGAGTTTTAAATTGAGACAGAATTTAAGCTTTGGTGGAGATGAAGATTTAAATGAGATGGAAAATACAAGAGCATCAAATAAGCAAGTAACACTTGGGTTGCAAAGGCCACTTAAAAGGGATACTGACTATTTGAACCCAGTAAGGCCAGTTTTTAAAGTTAATAAAAGGAATATTATAAGAAAACTTACAAATGGCAGCAACACTGTTTAGTTTTTTTCCAAGTTAAGCAATAATGCCTCAAGCATTAGAAACATGAAAAAAGATCATACTAAAATCTTATAGGCCCAGGACCTAAAAATCTCTTCAATCAAACTTGCTATGTCATGTTAAAAACCTGTTACAAATATGGACCACGATTGGTGTTTGGCAGTAATGCTGGTTGTTCAAATGAAGAAAACCATTAATGCAAAATTTGCTCCTGTAACTCAACACCAATGCAAGACTTATTTGAATTTATTTTAATGGCAAACTACATAAAGCTGCATGAGGATAGCAAAAATTAAATAAGTGAAGGTTTTAAAAGCTTTTTTTCTTGATCTCTTGTACTGTTTAGTCTTTGAAAATCAATGTTTATAATATACTATAATTTAAGCTCTTGTCAACAATGAGAACTCACAGAAAAATCCTAAATTAAATATAACAATTTGATGGGATGAATGTTACTGTCTTATAAAATAGTAAGTCTACTAAAGGCATGGAGACTAGTATTAGGATTCAGAACAATTTTTAGAGCGCACGTTCTTACCCAATTTATAATCATGTGGCTGTCCTAATATATTAGTTTATTTATAGCAGAAAGTAAAGGATCATAGCAAGACTCATGCATGTAGGTATATTTTGATGGCAAATGAAATCAAATAGGACCCTGCCAAGAGATGCCACATTTAACCATGATTAATACAACAATAATGTAGTTGATGAATACATACAATTTCAGTGACATTAGCCATGAAAATATATTTAATGGGTTTTAAAGATAATTTTAAGGTAGTTTGTTGTATGCTGGAAGCAATTTAATTTTTTCAATGTGTTGCTTATTTACACAAATTAACATAATTTTATGTTTTGATATCCCCTTCCCAACACTTTCATGATTTAAAAGTCTAGCAAAAGTTAACAATAAGATTTAAATATTGAATTAACAAACAACATGATTTAAACGTTGTTACTAGAGTGAGAAGTTCTGTTTTTTTAAATCACTTTGGTGTTTTCTAAAATGTCAATACCAGTTACAAATGAGACTACAAAATCACAACAATGCATTAGAAATGGTAACTGATGTTAACTCTAGAGCAACAGTTGGCAAAGTGAATCCATTTCCCCCTTCGCCCATTTTTAAATAAAAAATATTTTAAGTAAGGAAATGTATGCAAATGGTACCTAGGGTATATTGGCAGTAGGAGAAAATTACAAATGTATGCAAAGCTAAAGACAAAACAAATATATCTTTTAAGCTGTGCTAAAGAATTGTTTATATGTTTGATATGTGAGCATATTAAAGCATGCTGGATAATGTTAATAAGATTTTGGCTTAAAAAATGATATTTAAGAAAATTTCCAGCATATACACAAACCAATATTTGGCATGTTCAAAAAAAAAAAAAGAACAAATACATTTTACCATAAAAAATATCAGCACACTTCCAGCCTTCAGCAGAATTATTCACTACAACTAGAGTTACACATTCATTGTTTTTACCCTTTCTTCAAATACTGTTTACACCTGAAAATAAGTTTTAAAAACATAAATAATATTCTGCTTCCATATTAATCTATTATGAAATATCTGATTCACTATGCTAACCATTTTTACCAATGAGGCTGTATAAAAACAATTTTGATTATTCATAATCAAGTATTCATGTGCATACATATAGATTCAAGGTTTCCTATTTGTTCAGATTATTGTAAAACCCTCATCATTCTGCATGGAAATTTTGGTCAAGTGATCATACCATTAAAAATGGAGGGAAAAGTAGCAGCAGCAGTAGAAATTTTTGGATTGTACATGCCACTATTCAAAAGAACAAAGAGGAAACCTAGGATGAATCTTCATTGAGAACATATATGTACTTTTCAAAAAATAAATGTGTCAATTCTGATTTATGTACTTAAAATATCTGTACATAGGCTTTCAGGCAAAAGCACGAATCTGTATAAAATCTGTTAATTCCCATTTCACCATTTATCTAACCCAATCATTCAGCATTTACATTGCACAGTATATTCAGAGTAGCTTTACAACATTTTTAAAGATGACTTAAGTGCATTACACTGCAAGGTTCAGAATCTTATGTAACAGTGATGTCACTCATTTAACTTTTCAATGGACTATCCTCTACAGTAAGAGAAAAACAAAATGTTAAAATAGCAGCAGCATCATGCAAAATACCCTTGGTAACCAAAGTTCATTTATCACAAGAAAAACATTTTCCCCTCCCCCAACAAGCTTTTCTTAGAGCATGTTGAAATATCTGGCTAGCACTACATAACTTTACTGTGAACAAAAGGGACGTTACATTGAAGCACTTATTAAGGGCTTACATTTAGGAGGAAATATGTCACACATTCAAATTTCACCCTCAAGCACCTTTAGTTTAGTAATTTCCTAGTTATATTTCCAAATAACCAATTTATCACCCCACCAAAACTTAATTGGTCATCATTTGTATTATATTTTTGGCAGAGAAGCCATTCTTCATAAGGCATTTTATTCATGGCAATTTTTTAAAATAGAAAATTGACCATTATATCTATTTCAAAAGATTACATCAATGTTAATCCTCTCTCTCTCTCTCTATATATATATATATATATATATATATATATATATATATATATTTCAATAATAACTACTCAAAACAGGAAGTAATTTTTAACAGAAGAATAAGGGAAGGCAAAAAAGAAACATCTTTTCCCCTAGAGATTTTCTTGGTTAAAGAACAAGGATTACAGTAAGTCAAAATTCCAGGTCAAAATCAAGACAATTTGTATGATTCACAAACAGTTGTGTGGGGAGCCCTTTTACAATTAATCACATACAGTGCAACAACAAACTCTCAAATTTTCCAGTAGAGCACATATAAAGTTTCGCTTTGATGTTATACATGAATAATGCAACATTCATACAAGTTTAAGGATCTGGCACCCTGACATGCAGCCAGTGGGCGCCTTAGGAGTCTGCGCCTTAGTTTTATGCCGTGTGATGGGCCCAGCTAATGCTCTGCTGATTCCATGGTTGACCCTATGTTAATGCATTTGAGGGCTCATGTTTTGGCAGGGTCTGGAGTTTAATTATGCAGATTTGGTTTTGGAAGGTCATAACTGGCAGTGCCTGATGCCAGATAAAAGCCAAAGAAGGACAAACTGGATTCCAATGATGGACCACAGGGAGGGATTTAATCCGGAAACGCCGCCACAGTCGGTATAATCCTCCTGTTGGAAAGTAAAGCAAAAAGAAAATCCTGAAAAATATTTAGTAAGACATCTATCAGGTTTAGTCCACTTCTGAACTCACCTTATATAACTGCTTTAATTTGAATCCAAATAAATTACATTCTCCTAGATTTTACTGTTCAAAGAATGCTTTATAACATTATTGTAGACTCAGATGATAATAGAAGAAAATTTTATCAGTGAATGCTGTTTTGAGTAATATATCAATTTCTAAATTAAAAAAAAATATTCATAGGATAAAATGTTCTTATATATTTATAAATACAAGAAGTAAAAATAAAATTTAATAGTATGTTTTAAAATTCCCATGAATTATGATACTAGCAATTATACTCAATTAGACAAATTTTTGATGGGTAAAATAAATAAATTTGAGAAATGCACTTCTACTTTCCACATCCCTTACATCCAGTTTCAAAGGTGAGCATACCATACTGCACATGCAGCATCTGGACCTTCATCAAGAATTAAAATAAAAAGAAGAATAATGTATTTGAACCATAAATGAAAGTACACTCTGAAAACATACATCCTACAAAAGGAGCTAAGCTATCAAGTTTTGTTTAGAAAGCAATGAATGAGTACTAAATATACTCATTGGATTACCCAATGTCTAGTTGTGACTCATTATGTTGCCTACTAATGCAATATTATTACTTATCTTTTATTCCTAAATTCTGTACTCTGTAACATCTTCTACATCCTTTAATTCCTTTTAATATATTGAATTGAATAGAGTACCCTAATTTCTTATTATTTTTCTAAACATCATTTAAGAATTTACTAATCCAAGGTTCAACTTCCAATAATCAAAACAATTTATGTAAGAAAGTATTTAAGTAAGTAAATAAATATTCTATCTAGAATAAACATACAAAGACTCTGAACTCTCAGAGAATAGAACAGGCTCCTTTTGCTCACTAGGGTGTAATGCAGTGCCTGCCACCTGGTAAATAAATACAATTTCTTTCTTCAATTGTATTTAAGGTAGCAGATCTCTTTTTGTTTGTTTGCTTGTTTAAGAGAAGTTTGAAATAAAATAATCTATTAAGAAAAATTTCATTTTTCAAAGGTAGGCTCTAAATATACTGAGAATCATTAAAAAATGATCAGTTCTTAGTCCTCGGTCTATTTGACTTTTCCGGAGCATTTGCCAATGTACAATAAACAGTCTTTCCTTGAAATATTTTCTCCTGCATCTTCTCTCAACACTTGTTTGTGGTTCATCTTACTCTCCTTGGCTTGGCCTTGTTCTCTTTGTGATCCCTACATGTGGGATTTTCCCAGGGGTTAGTTCTCACTATTTTCTTCTTTATACTTCCTTTCTAGGTGATCTAATCCAGTCCTATAGCTTTAAATTAAACACATGTGTTAATTACTTGTATTTTTATCGTTTAATATGAAAGCAATTTTTAAAATTCAGCTTTCCTGAGTTAAAAGGAACAAATAAAATTATAATATATTTAAAGTGTGCATTGCAGTGACTTAATATATATTATATAAGAATTGTCCCCATCAAGATAATTAACATCCATCACCTCATATATTTAATTTTTTTCCTTTGGCGAAAATACTTAGTATCTTTTCCCTTAGCAAATTTCAATTTTACAATGTTATCAACATAGTTATCAATTACAGTTATCATGTTTTATTAGATCCTCAGCCCCACCAACCTGTTTATATGTTATATGAGGTTTTTTTTAAGATTCCATTTATATGTGATACCATGTAGTATTTGTCTCTCTCTGCCTTGCTTATTTCACTTAGCATAATGTCTTCAAGGCCCATTTGCCTCTCTCGAGTCAGTAGTGATGTTGAGCATCTTTTCATGTGCCTGTTGGGCATCTATATGTCTTATATAAAAAAATGTCTATTCAGATCACCTGCCCATTTTAATTGGATTATTTATTTTTCGACACTGCATTTTATTAGTTCTTTATATATTTTGGATACTGGTCCCTGATCAGATATATGATTTATAAATTTCTTCCTATTCATTAGATTGCCTTTTAATTATTTTTGTGTCCTTTGCTGTGCAGAATCTTTTTAGTCTGATGGAGTCCCATTTGTTTATTTGGGGTTTTTTTTGTATGTACATAATGGAAGATAGTAGTCTAGTTTCATTTTTTGCCTGTGGCTGTTCAGTTTTCCCAGCACCATTTACTGAAGAAACTATTTGTTTCCTAGTGTATATTCTTTGCTCCTTTGTCATAATTAATTCACCATATCTGCATGGGTCTATTTCTGGGCTCTCTATTCTGTTTCAACGTTCTATGTGATTTTTTTTTTGATACTACTATATTGTTTTGACTACTGCAGTTGTATAATACAGTTTGAAATCAAGAAGTGTGAGGCTTTCGCCTTTTTTTATTTTCAAAGTTGCTTTGGCTATTTGAGATTTTTATAGTTTCATAAATACTGTAGAATTGTTTGTTCTATTTCTGTGAAACATGCCATTGGAATTTTGATAGGTATGCACTGAATCTGTAGATTGTGTTGGGTGGTATGAACACACTTTAACAATATTACTTATTCTAATCTATAAACATTAAATATCGTTCCATTTATTTGTACCTTCTTCAATTTCTTTCATGAATATGTTATAGCATTCAGTGCACAGGCCTGTCACCTTCATGGTTAAATTTATTCATAGGTATTTTATTCTTTATGATGCAATGGTAAATGGAATTATTTTCTTAATTTCTCTGTTTTGGAAATTCAATATTAGTGTATAGAAATGCAACTGACTTTTGTATACTGACTTTGTTTCTTGCAATTTTGTTAAATTTGCTTACAAATTTTAACAGTTTTGTGGTGGTCTTTAGGCTTTCTATATATAAGACTATGCTAAATGCAAATAGTTTTACCTCTTGCTTTCCAGTTTAGATGCCTTTTATTTCTTTTCATTGCCAAATTGTTTTGCCTAGAATTTCCAATACTATTCTTGGATAACAGTGGTAAGAGTAGACATCCTTGTCTTTTTCCTGATCTCAAAGGAAAAGCTTTTAGCTTTTTACCATTGAATATGATGTTATTACCTATGGAATAGTCATGCATGACTGCTTTTGTGTTGATGTATGTACCCTCGATACCATCATGTTGAGAGTTTTACCAAAATGCATGTTAAATTTGATAAATGTCTTTTGTGCACTTGTTGAGATTATCATGTGATTTTTATCCTTCACTTTGTTAATGCGGTATATTATATTGATTTATTTGCAGTCATTAAACCATTCTTGTATCCCTGGAATAAATCACATTTGATCATGGTATATGATCCTTTTATGTGTTGTTGAATTTAGTTTGTTGAGGATATTTGCATCTATGCTCATCCAGAATATTGGCCTTAATTTTCTTTTTTGTAGCCTCTTTGTCTGGGTTTGGTATCATGTTAAGCCTGGCCTTGTACTATATTGTTTCGCTAGAAGTATTCCCTCCTTTTTAACTTTTGGAAGATTAGAAAAGGATTGTTATTGATTCTTTTTAAGTGTTTGGTACAATTCACCAGTAAAACCATCTGGTGCTGGACTTGTTTTTGGGGAGGTTTTTGATAGTAATCCATTCTGTTTACTAGTAATTTGTCAGTTTAAATTTTACATTTCTTCATGATTTAGTTTTCATAGGCTATGTTTCTAGGAATCTCTCCATTTCTTCTATGTTGTCCAAATTTATTGACATAAAATTGTTCAGAGTAATCTCTTTGATTGTTATATTTCTTTGCTATCAATTTTAATAGCTCCTCTTCATTTCTAATTTTATGAGCCCTCTCTCTCACCCCTCACCCCGCTTTGGGAAGTCCAGCTAAAGGTTTGTCTATTTTGATTATTTTTCTCAAAAAAACCCCCCAAAAACCCCAGCTCTTTGTTTCATTAATCTTTTGTATTGTATTTTTTTTTAGTGTCTATTTCATTACTTCTGCTATGATCTTTGTTATCCCCTGTCTTCTACTACCATTGCAATTAGTTTGTTCTTTGTCTAAATCCTAGAGGTGTAATTTTAGGCTGTTTACTTGACATCATTTTATAATTCTTATTGTAGGTGTTTATCACCATAACTTTTCCTTTTAGAAGTACTTTGCTACTTCCCATAGTTTTGCTATGTTTTATTTCTATTTCCATTTGTCTCAAAATATTTTTTTGAAGTTTCTCTTTTGATTTCATCTTTGATACATACTTGTTTAGTAGCATGTAACTTAATCTCCACACATTTGTGAATTTTCCAGTTTTCTCCATGTAACGGCTTTCAAGTGTCAGAAAGTTGTGGTCAGAAAAGATGTTTGATATAACTTTTTCTTGATATAGTAATTTCTTAAATTTATTAAGACTTCTTTTATGGCATAAAATATCTTCTATCATGGAGAATATGCCTCATGTACTTTAGAAGAATGTACATTCTGTTGTTTTTGGATGAAATCTTTTTATGTTTCTTAAGTTCTTCTGCTCTAATTTGTTATTTAACTCTAAAGTTTCCTTTATTTAAAATTAATTAATTTATTTTTCCAAATACATTTGTCTCTGCCTACCCCCCACCACTTTCCCTTGCCCCCTCCCTCCCTCCCTCCACTCTTTCCCTTTGGTTTTGTCCAAGAGTCCTTGCTATATGTTCCTTGACTTTCCCCTTCCCTTCCTTTTCCCCCACTGCCCGCTCCCTCCTTCCCTCTTGTCTCTGTTGGTTTCTTTTCCTTTCAGTGTTGCTGGTCTTAGTAACATACAAGGGGGCCCCGATACGCCTAGGAGCTGACTTCTCAACAGAAACACTACAAGCCAAAAGGGAATGGCAACAAATATTCCAAGTCATGAAAAGCAAGGGCCTACAACCAAGGCTGCTCTACCCAGCAAGGCTCTCAATTAAAATAGAAGGGGAAATAAGGAGTTTCCCAGACAAAAGTAGGCTAAAAGAATACATCTCTACCAAACCAGCACTACAACATATGCTAAAGGGACTGGCTTAAGAAGATGAAGGAAAAGAGTGAGAAAGAG